CCAGCAGAGCACCAGAGATGCCGGAAGAGTGTGGGGGTGGGAGGGGGAAGGGGGGAGGAGTGAGACAACCGGCCAGAGGCAGAGAGGAGAAGGAAAAGGAACGAAAAGAACAAGAAAAGGAAGAAAAAGACCTGAAGAGGGAAAAGGTTAAGGGTGGAGGAGATAAAAGAATAGAAAAAAGGAAAGAATTGGGGAATGGGATAGAACAAGCACAGTATTTATTGAACCAAACCAGAAAGGGGATAAATAACATTTCAATGAACTCACTCTCCCTAACCTGTGCTGAGAACCTGCTCTGCTCCAGACACAGTGAGGGGCGAGAGACACGAAGGTCCCTTCCCTGTAGCTCACGTTCCAGCAGGGAAGATGGGAGTTGGCCCCTCGCTTGTGATCAGCACAGAGTGGAAGAGAGGACCTGGGCCCCCCCAAGCCTGACAACGTCCCCATTCAGCCCATTATTCTCAGCTGAGACGGCCAGGACCTGGCGGGGTGGCTGGAGTGGGGCCTAGGGAGCAGAGTTAGGAGGCTGGTCCTAGTGGCACCTATGGACCATGCCCCAGCCCTTTCCTCCCAGCTCATCCCGGCACATTTCCTGGTTCTCCTGGCCCCAAACTTTCCCCTCTTGAGCTGGGGGAGACCATAATTGGGGCAGGATGCGCCACAACTAGAAAGGAAGTCTTCTCTCCAAGACCCTGGGCTGAGCTCTTGCTCTAGAAGAGAATGAGGGGGACCCTGGGCCTGGGTGCACGTATTTGAGGCTCAGGGCTCAGGTCACCTGGGAAGAAAAGAAAAGAGGGAGGAAGAGAAAAAAAAAAGGCAACTGGAGCTCATAAAAAAGCTCCAGAGATGGAAGGATTTAAAAGAAGCTGAGTCCCACTGAGAGAAAGTGGAGGGAGGCAGAGGAAACAGAGGCATCAGGAGTGGGAGTGGGAGTGGGAGTGGGAGTGGGGAGAGTGAAAGAAAGAAAGAAAGAAAGAAAGAAAAGGGGAAGGAGGAGGGGCCGGAGAATAGGTATCTACTCTCCTCCCCTTCACAGCTACACTCCTCCTCCGAGCTGTCTGCACTCTGGCCCCATTTCTAGGTCTCCCACTCGCTCCTCAGCCCACTCCTCTCTGGCTTCCTCGCCCATCATGCCACCAAAACAGCTCACATGTAGCTGCCATGTTGCTACCTCCAGTGAACGTTTCCTCATCATATGAATTCTCTCTGCAGCGCCTAACTGTCCCTCCATCTAGAACAGCGGTTCTCAACCTTCCTAATGCCGCGACCCTTTAATACAGTTCCTCATGTTGTGGTGACCCTCAAGTTCATTGTTACATATTGAACATAATTAAAGCATAGTGATTCATCACAAAAACAATATGTAATTATATATGTGTTTTCCGATGGTCTTAGGCGACCCCTGTGAAAGGGTCGTTCAACCCCCAAAGGGGTCGCGACCCACAGGTTGAGAACCGCTGCTCTAGAACCATCTTCCCTCTGCCTACATGACACCCACCACCCCTCTCCCCTTGCTCTCCTACTTTTCCTATTCTCGTTCAGTTTCCTATGTGGGTTCCTCCTCCCCTTCCCAACCCTGACACTCGACATGGCCAGACTTGATTCATCACCTTCCCTCTCAACCTGGAAGGGATGAAAGTCAGGGGGGAATCTCCGGAGGCCAGAGGACTTGGGTGGAGCGGAGGCATAGAGCAGCCGAGCTGTGCCTGGAAGCTGAGGATCTCAGCTAAGGACCAAAGGGCCTGGATGGTGCCATGCTGAGGAAGGGAAGGAAGAGGGGAGCCCACACCCCTGGGGTCTATCTCCAGACTGCCCTCAACAGGACAGGTGCAGGGCTCCATGATGAGGGTGTGTGAAGACCAAGGTCTTCATGGGAGTCTCACTCTTAGACCCTCCCCTTCTCTCTCCTCATCCCCTCCCACTCCTAGGGACCCTTTCTCTAGCCCCAGTGAGGGGGAGGGGAGGAGCATTCTGGAGGGATGCTCCAACAGGGAGGGAGGGCAACAGAACCTCGGGAACCAGAGCAGCTGGAAAAGGCTGACCCACCTGCTCACCAGGTGCACCAACACCTGGGCTGCCTCTTCTCCCTCGTCCCACACCACGGAGTCCAAGCTGGGGGCTTGAGGGGCTCCAGCGGGATGGGGAGTTGGGGAGCACAGGCCTGCCCCCCACCTTGTGGAGAGAGGGCACTTGGGGAAATTTGGAGAGAGAGTGAACTCAGAGCTCAGCATTTTCCTCTTTCTGTTTTTCTGCTTGAGGAATTTTTTTTCCCCCTAAGTGCTGATGACTTTACCATTTCTTGGACGTGGGGGAAGGAGACGTTGGCTTTCACTCCCCCCCCTCGCCCCCCCAACTCCAAATGCCGGACAAAGTCTTACATTCCACCAGAAGCCAGAGCTTCAGAGTTTCCTAAAGATGAGGTGGCGTCTCCTCCCCTCTCCAGCCCCAGTCCCCTCCCCCTTCCCTCTCCCCAGTCTCAAGCCCTCAGTCCTGGCCAAGGAGGCCCTGGGAGGAGACCCCAAGCACATTCTTCCTCTCGCTGTCATGCTGCAGAAATTAAAGACACATCTTCGGGCTGGGCACCCGCCAAGCGTTTCAAGTCAAAAAGTGGCAGAGGAGGCCCTGGGCCTCAGCTCCGTGCCACGTGTAAAGGACGCTCAGAAGCCCGCTGCCTGGAGCCCCTGGGGTGGGAGTCTGACATTGGCCAGTGGGGCAGTGGCTGGGTGGCTGTCACATGCACCCACACCCCCAGGGGTCCCTGG